TATGCACATTGTCTGGTATGGGATCATCTTCCTCCTTCATCTTCCTAGTTGCAATAACTGATTCCCTGAATTCCAGTGACCCTATGGGTATTATTTCGGTCTTGTCGACATTGAACTTCGCACTGGAGGCCTTGCACCAACGGTCTAAAATGTCAGTTACTTGTGCGAATGAGTCCTTTGAGGACAGATAAACTGTGGTATTATCTGCAAATAGAGTTGTAATCACCTTCTCCATAATTCCCTTGATTTGATACCCTTGGAGGTCGGAGTTTCTAAGCATTGAGGCAAGGGGTTCTATTGCAAGGTTGAAAAGGAGGCAAGAGAGTGGGTCTCCTTGACGCACCCCCCTCGTAATTCGGGATGAGGAACTCAGGACCCCATTTATTACTACTTGTGTCTCCGCTTCTGCGTAGAGTGATTTGACCGTGTTAATGAATAGGTCGGGTATGTGGTTATACTTCAGAACTTCCCATAAGTATCGGTGAGAGGTTTTATCATAGGCTTTTTCTTGGTCTAGGGCGAGGATGGCTCCGTCTTCCAGTTGGCCCTCAGCATATTCAACCATTTCCATTGCAAGGAAAATTTGGTCCGATATTTTCCGCCCCTTCATGAATCCCGCTTGATTTGGGTGGATAAGGCCAGGCACCACTCGCAGAACATAACAGCTCTTACATCTTTTGATTTTGAAGTGCCCCGCTACACTCTTGTCCAATATCAAAATAATGTGGTGTTGAACTTACCGTCATTTGGATATTTATTTTATTCATTCATACGACCCCGAGTCTGCGCATGGTTAGGTTCAACCTCAGAATCAGATGAGAATTCAAGAGCGCCTACTTGAGTTACGCAGTTTGCATGTAAGCCTGAGTGGGCTGCATCGGAGAACGGGGAGAGAATTAGCAGAGCTGGCTTTAGCAGGAACCAAGCCAACCACTCGTACCTAGAGGCTTAAAACGGACCACCAGCTCAATACATCGCCTGCGTAGAAGTTGGACTAACTAGATGAACCACCCGCAAATAATAAATTTGCACTTACACTATTCACATTCACGCGCGCCCGCAGACTGGGTTGAGAGCGGTGGAAGGATGGGGATGGTCAGCCTACATTTGTGGGATGAGCGAAGATAGTAGGTAGGGATCGAACAAAATCAAGGGCGGGTTGGTATGTACTCGGCTTATATTCTGCGGTGGGAAAGGAACTCTGAGGAATTGAATAAGGGTCAGCGGGTGAAGGAGAGCTTGAGTATAATACACGTACATGGGTTGTATCTGAATGCCTTATGGATTATGGATTAAACCTCGAAATCAAATTGAAGTGGGTTCGAGGGAGAGGTTCAACAAGATTCACACTGGCGGAGTTGGAATTTGGCTCGACTTGGACGTTATAGAATGAACATGAACGAAATCATCTTGGAATGTGCGTTACCCATGAATCAAGACAAACCCATACTGACCTGGATATTACGAGTTCATCTTGCAGATTAGATTTGGACTCAGTCATGAATATCGCGGTCGTGGAAGTCTGAAATGAACTTCGAGTGAGCGATAAAGTGATGGTGCGTAGGGCTGGAGCTAGAACCCAGGCATACATACCATGTTCAAACATTGAAGCGAAGACTCTCGAGTCGCAGCGTGAGGTTGAAAAATTAGAGTTGTCTTTCTGAAGAACCCCCAAGGCCACCAAGAAAACTGGATTCAAAAGGGGATCCACCTGGACTTCGCGAGTGCGTGGCGTCTACGTTGAACGATGCTTGAAGGTCAAACTGCCGCGATCGATTAATTAACGTCGCATCAACAAAATGAGTGAACGTGAGAGCCCACTCACCCCTCTTGATCAGAAACACACTCCACCTCCGTCACCTGCGCAACCGCGAGGCATAACACGCGATAGTTGGGCCTCGATAAATAAAAAAACCTATGTGGGATATGCATCAGGAAAAACCAAAATTCTATGATAGAACACGGCCTTTTATGGGGGTCTTTGATGGTCTTTGATGGTCTTTGATGGTCTATGGGTGTCTATGTGGCAACCCCCCGGCTCTATGAGTGTCTATGGGGAGCTATGGATGTCTTTCAATGTACCTGCACTGTTTATGGCTTTCTTTGGCAGTTGATTGATGTGACATGATTGTGAATACATAGTCTAATGAGGACAAAACCATGCTAGCCGGCGAGTTGCATTGAACCAAGCTCATGCATCAGGAAAACCAAAATGCTATGATAAAACACAGCCTTTTATGAAGGTCTCTGAAGGTCTATGAATGTTTATGTGTCAACCACCTTTTTTGGAAAGTCCTTGTTCTGAATTTTTCTGGCTTTCAAAACTGTCACATTCAGGAAATTATTCCATATTTTTGTGCTTCACTTCAGCTGTTGAAGGAGGACTTATGGTAAACAACTCTTATAGCTCTTTTCGAGTTTTCTGTTTGGGGTCTATTTTTACATCTGCAAATATATGCCTTTGTGAGAAATTGAATGAGTTGCTTGCTAGAGAAGTATTCATGCCCAGATGCTTTTACCAGAGGAGATGTGGATTGGACAGGCAAGAACTTGCTTGAGAGAAGTAAACTGACCTGGAGATCAGAACATACACACCTACCAGAGTGGTTTCCATTTACTTCTATGGTCTCTTATCTCAGTTCATAGTGGACCCAATTCCCGTATTTTGTCTGAACCCGCCAGGTCGCGAGTTCGATCCTGTTAAAAAGCACTTTGCTTTAGTTACCTTAGATGCCTTGATCAAGCCTGTATAATGAATGTCCCTTGGCGAAAAGTAACTCAGTTCACATTCAGTGGTGGTGGGCACCGACCGCATCATGATGGGCTGATGGGAAGTCCGGTAACTAAACTTAACCGGTAAATTCGTGGTCCTTGTTCCTCCTCCATTCTCTGACACGATTACCACTTCCAATGACCACGGAATATGTTATATAGTTAGTCTGTACTCTATATTGATGAATTCTGATTAAAAGGTGGCCGCATCACCCTCAAACTCGCCAAAATCAATGTGTATACAAATTCTGCCGCCATCTGGGGGCCCGAATAGCCCATGCCCTGCTCAGAGGAGGCTGCAAGAAGTCTCTTGAGATCTGTAACGCGTTAACAAGGCCGTACTGAGTCTAAGAATGTCGAATTTCTGAGATTTGTCATTCTTGGGAGTCCTCATTACTGTATAGCCCGGAATCCGGCAGTGAACAAGGCAATACTCTTCCAGTGGTATTTGTTGAATAATAGGACCTTCTGGATGTGTGGGGAGCGTTGTGCAACACGACGAGCGGGAAACGATGGCAGTGATGTGTGACGACACATCCCGTCACAAAGCCAATTAAGGAAATTGGCGGGCAAATCATAGATGTACCACCACATCACATTTTCGGCACAATCACGCGTCGGCACATTGACCCGGACGTGTTTTTGGGTCGGACCTACAATGGTATAGAGCCCTTTTGGGGAATTTTGCCGTTTAACCATTGATTTCCACCAGTTGTACAGCTTGAAAAATGTAAATTTGAAAAAAGGGCTCTATACGTTGGTAGATAATCTTCATTGCAGATTTTTCGAGCCTTTACCTTATTTTTCTCTCTTCCACATCTCACCCACAATGCACGACCATGTTTTGGAGGTGGCTCGGATCTGACAGCTCACATCAGTTGCCATCACTGATGTGGTCGGTGCCCACCACCACATTCAGATAGAAAAACACCTTGAACACTAAATAAGTAACTGCGAGGGTGAAAGCACAGTAAGCAAAAACGTGAGTAAGGTAGTGGTTGGTGGTGACAGAAACCTTGTATCTCTGCATTACATGTGATATAATATGTGTTTTTACTGTCATTTTTGTGTGTGTTTTAAGCCACTGTGAACCAAAAAAAAGTTGACAAAATGTCATAGAAAGTAGGCCAGTTTCATAGAAAACAGGGATTTATGGGTGTCTATGGGTGTCTATGGAGTTGACCCCCCCCACCTTGCTATCATAGACGCCCATTGTCTATGACGTCTATGGTGTCTATGTGGGTCTATGGGGCAGTTTTGGTTTTTCCTGGTGAATTACCCTTCTTTAATGTGGATTCTCATCTGTTATACCTTCCTTTATGTAGTTTCCCCAGCAACCTTTCATTCACAGTTTCAACACTGCCCATGTCAATATGTCCCCTGATAGAAAGTGTGAAAAGATGTAGACAGTAACAGAGAATTCAATACATAATGGGAACTTGAGCACCAAGTGCAGTGTTAAACAAAATCAGAGGTAAACTTCCCCGGTGCACATGTGTCGGAAAGGGTTTTGACTTCATGCTTGCACAGCGAGATGTCAGGAATGGTGCGAAAAAGGTGCATACAATGGTGGATCACCTCGGTGCACTGTTAAATGGTGTAGAGATCACAGAAAGTCTACGTGGACAGAGAACTGAACCTGGTAGCTAATGCCACTTTTCTCATTGTAGAAACAATACACCCCTAATGCAGCTATGATCGGGTTTAAATTATTGTTCACTCAACTCCAACAGCCGCACAATGTTGCGTAGTGAGAACTTGCACACACACCCCACCATGCCACGGGCAAGGTGACCTTTCTCCTTGTTGCAGCAGATCTCCGCGTGTCTCCATGGTTTGAAGTAGTTGATGACTCTCCACGGTTTTTCTCATACACATTCTCAACACTTTCCCCCTGTTTCACGTCCCAGGCCTATTTTCCAACTATCTTCTGTAATGTTGGCCCGCATGACCTGACTCTGTAGCTTCTGGTTGATAATTACCAATAGATTACACCTGCTTCAAGCAAAGCTTCCATGGCCAGGTAGGTTATCTCATAGTGATTCCACAGCTGAGTGGTATAACGGTATAACTGCTAGGATCTGCCACATGATACATCGGATTTGGTGGTATTGGGAATGGGCATACCATGGGATATGAGAAGTACCATGGCCCAGGGCAGAAGTGGTGACCATGGTACCTCCCATAGGCCTGCCACAGGCGGGCGAAAATTTTGCCAGAATTCCACAGGGCCAGACTCCGAATCGAAGGGAGGACTCGCAAAGAAACATTGGGGAGATGCATCCAATTCATGCGTGTTAACCATTACACCACCGGGCCACAGAATCAACTTTCACAACAAGAGCCTATCAGACCAACAGCGGAATGCAGAGAAAAAGACACCTTAAAAGAAAACAAGTCATTGAATTTTGCAAGGCCGAACCTTGAATCAAACAAGGGTCCTGTGGCGAATAGTTGACGAAGCTGTTCTCAACAAAAACCACAAGTGCTACCAACTGCACCATTCGGCCATGATCACAGAATACAGGCTATGGACCACGATTACCTCACGAACACCTTTTTCAAGATGAATTCAAGACCCTAAAGGTTTTAGACGGACAATCACCGAGTAATCGGGACAGCTTGGCCTATGACAGTTATCATGAAACGGGTTGTGGAGTGCACAAGCTTACTTGTTTCCATTCCATGGAAGTATACTTTCACTCTGTGTTCCTTGACTGGTATTCCTTTGCACATGTTGAGCATTTGAAAAATAAATAATCGTCTCAAAAAGAACCTGCAGTCACCACATCATTGTGTGCTACATACGGTCTAACAGTTCCTCAATCCCCGGAACATCTGGACCATTGTCACCCAAAACCTGTTTCTATTTTTCCCCGTGAGTTCTTTGGCTTCCTTGTGCTCTCCCAAGGCTGAGTATGAGCTGGCCAGGTTGCCCATGGTACGCAGGGTGTCTGGATGATCGTTACCTAGAAACTGTGTCTGTTTCTCCAGCACAACACTCCTGAGTTCTTTGGCCTCCTGATGTTTTCCCAGGTCTGAGTATGAGTTGGCCAGATTACCCATGGTTAGAGTGGTTGACTTCCCATAACGCATAAACAATTATTTGGAATATTTTCTGCCGTTCTGGGACAAGTCCGAGACAGCTGTCAGGACCCCATCGGACTTGGATCTGAGTAGTATCGTTCCCAGACCCTCTTGTAGAATATAATCTGGAACGGGGGTCGGACCCCCCGTTCCAGATTATATTCTAGTTGAATAAAATGGATTTGGCTGTATCGCCGAGCGGCATCCAGCGGCTTGACCAGATTGATCATCACTCGTTGTCATCGATGACGGTTTGCCGCACTGAGAACTTCAAGTCTTGCACCAAGACATCATCTCCCCCGTTCGCCCAACGTCGTCAACCCAACCTTCCGACCCTGCAGCGCACAATCAATGTCTCCCCTCGATTCGGTGCGTCTTTCGCCACAAATGGTTGAAAATCCACCGTCGTCAGCACCGGGTCCAATAGAGGCGACCTCGGCGTTGGATAGCTTGAATTTGGTGTTGGAATAGCTCGAATTGCACGTTGCAGGACGTTTGCACATGGATTGCTGCCAACCATCCAGCTTGACGTCACTCAGCTTGCCAGCATAAAGGCCTAGCGGGAGGTTGGTGTTTCTTCGTTCGAGTTTTCCCCTCGTTCATCCCGCTCATTCCTTTTCGTTTCCTCTATGTCAGATCCAATTGCTTCTTCTTTCTCCCAAACACCTGAGTTCCACTACGACGCCGCCGGGAAGCCTTGGTACCGCGACGGCAATGGGACATGGGTTCCAGCGACCATGGTATGTTTCCGGTTCTTTTCAGTCAATTTAACTGATGTATATTGCTTCAGGCTCCGCCGCGGGCTCCCCAATTGGTATGTATTCCATGTACATTCAATGTTGCTATTGCTGACATCACTCTTCAGCCGTCTCCTGTTTTCAATGCAACTCCTTCCGCTCCGGCTAGAGACCAGGTGTGTACCTTGAACCTTCTCCATTCCGGCTTGTAGGACTTAGTTTTCTGCAGTACAATTTCTCCGCCACCTTCGCCCCTCCTGCCCCGCCTCCTGGGCCGCTCATTGACCCCCGGCTCATGCCATTGCGTGCCGAGGACGACGACAATGACGACGAGGGCTTTGATGCTGCCGCAGTCGCCAGGTCGCGCGGTCTCAAGCCAGCCTTCAAAGTCGGTGGTGTTCGCCAAGTGGAGAAGCACAAGAAACGGGCACACGTCTCCGACAGCGACAGCGACAGCGACGACGCACCAGCAGCCAAGCGCCCAGGACGTCCGAAGGGCTCCTCCAACTTCAACGAAGCTGACACCACCTGTGCCCTCGACCTAGTCGAGAAAAAACGTCCGATGGGTGCAAAGGGGTGGAAGTCGGTCGCTCGTTCATTCAACAAGTGGGCCAAGAAGTCGAATCGGCCTACACGCGATGAGAAGTCTTTACAGGCAAAGTACAAAGGGGTGCGTCGCTGTGCTATATTATTATTTCCTTCCCTGATTCACCATGTAGCTCCTCCGCAGTAAAAAACCGACTGGCTCCGGTCGCTGTCCTCCCGAGATCAAGTGTGCCCTTCGCATCGAGCAGCTCATCTCCGAGCGCGCCGGCACTCGGGAGGTCAGCGATGGTGCCATGTCCGACGACGACAACACTGGTGCCTCTTCGGACTCGAGCGTTGAGGTTCTGGGCTCCAAGAAGGCAGCGAAAGTTCACACCGCTATCGCCCGCCGTGCCCCTAGCCCTCCCCTCCGTCGCAACCCTCGGTTGAACGCTCCCGAGCTCGTCGGCCACCTCGCGAAGGCGTTCGACCCCGAGGTGCAGCAGGCCCGCGATGAGGAGCGGTCCCAGCGCTCCTTCCAGCTGGCGCAATTCAACAGCATCTCCGCCCAATTGCGCGACGCGCAGGCTGCCACTGAGAGCCTGCGCACTCAGCTCCTCTCAATGCAAAACCGCTCCCACGAGGTCGAGCGTGCACGCGATCTCGCCGAATTCAAACTCCAACTGTTGGAGCAGCGCACTGTCGTCTCTCAACCCCAGCCCCAGCCCCAGCCGCGCCAGAGTCGACAAGGATGGTACGAGGAGCACCACCCTGACCTAATCCGCGTCGATGGGAAGGTTCGCTGTGAGCGAATTTATCCTGATGGTGGTGCTTGTACTGAATGGATCTCAGACCCATCCGACGACGAGAAAGAGAACTGGCCACCTTATGGTTACCCCCGGTCCTCCTCCCCTTTATTGTCATCGTCGCCTGACCTATCCACCAACCCATCCGACGTCCTGATTGCCGGCCCTTCATCTGCCGGTGCTGGTTCCTCAACTGACGGTGCTGTCAACGAAGCGGCGTAGAAGGTAGTACTACATCTGAACATTTTCTGTCGCGCTCTTTTTGGACTTGATACAACTACGTACACTCGCTAATGTCTCGTACTCTTCTTGGACTCCGATACAACATACGTACGCTCCTTACTGTCTCGTACTCTTCTTGGCCTTTTACAACCATATACATGCCCTAATGTCCCGCTTCTCCACAGACATCTTAGAGTACTTACAGTCACTAATCGTGTGTACACATCAATAAAGTTCTACATTGGCTCGTAAACAGCAATATTGTGAAATCGTGCTACTCGATCAGAACGCCTCTGCTCTCCGAACATCATATTCCCGAAGTCCATCCAAACTCGCTCATCCTCCTGTGTTTGTTTCCAAAGGGGCATATAGACACTGCGGATTTGGTTGATGCCTACCAGCTCCGCGCGCAAGTTGTTCAGGCGAACACAAATTTCAAGTAGATCTGCACGCTCCGCATCACGACCGATCTCCAACGGGATTCGCAAGCGTCCAAAAGAACCTTGCAGGCCTCGCATCCCCCACTCTGCCGTCTGGCGGTAGGAAAGCAATTCACGGTCAAATGCAACTCGTTCTTCAATTTCGTCCATCGTGCCCTCCATGCGTTGCCCAGTTTTGATTGGGGCTCGGATTTTGCCCTCGATTTGGTGCGCTCCACGAGGAAAGGCAGTGTCGGCGACAAGATAAAAGCCATCGGGTGTGCGCGTTCGAAGCTTCTCGTAGATGGATCGGGCGACGCGCGAATCGTGCCAACTCCCAGGAGCATTGAGGTTTGCAGCAATTATGGTCCCTGTGCAACAGTTAGTACAAGATGACTGTGGGAGGAAAACAATACTCTATTACCTTTCGGCGAGAAAACCAGCACAGAGCTCACATAATGGTCACACAACCACCCATTGTAAGTCGCGTTCTCAATCTCTTCGTCCGAGGAGGTCTGACAGATGAGATTTAACCCATCAATGCTCGCAAAAGCCCCGGTTAAGCGAGGATGGCGCTCAATGATGAGTTCATTGTAAGCACCGAACTCGTCGTCGTGGTCTGGCCACTCTACGCTGGCGGCCGGCATCGTCCGGAGTGTGGCGAGGAGGATTTCCAGGCCAAATGTGATGTAACGGGACACGGTGGTCGGTATGAGCGCGAAAACCTGCTGCAGAGTGATCTCGCGCATCGTCGAGTTTAAATAGTGAAGCAGGAGACCAAGGGCCCCTGACGCATCGAGAGATCGCGCGTTTGGACGCGTTGCCGCCGTGCCTCGCCCATCAGCACGGGGAATCGGTGTGGTGGTCCACGCGACGTCGAATCCGGCCCCAAGGATTGTATTGAAACTCGCGACGTCAAAGCCCATCGTTGTGATGTAGGCTCGGTCATTCCGGCGCCAATACAAAATCTGCCAAGGAGTGGCTCCCCGGGGATTTCGAAGTAATTGACGTCGGCAGAGGTAGAGACGAGTACGCCTTCGTCGTTCCACGCGCAGCTGATGGGTCTCGATGACGCCAAGTAAAAGTACGGCCACGGCGGTCCCGGCCATCACCTGTTCTTCCTCTATTTCGTCGTCCTCGAGGTCCTGGAGTTGTTGCTGAAGGAAAGACGCGTCAAAGTTCATTGTGCAGAGGTGGCGAGATGGTGGTGGAAGGCAGGACGTGTTGTTTATGTCACACGTGTTGTTTGGGCAGATAAGATATGAAATATATAATCTACGCGCTACGGGAACCCGAGGCGATTAAACAACTCAGGAATAAACACGATGCCGACATCGTTGGCACCGCTCAAATAGTACAAAAAAATGTCTATGCGTTATGGGAAGTCAACCAGTGCAGCACGAATATACATTTGCGAATATGAATATTCATCAAAGTTGGAGAAGTGATATTCGCATTCGTACGAGTATTGATGGCGAATATTCGTTGATTAGTAAGCAGTATTCACGAATACTCGTGAGTGGCAACTATTCATATTCAGCGAGTTTGAATACTCGTTAGTTGTGAGTTATTCATGAATAGCATGCATATAGAGTTCAATTTCAGCTACTGAACTACGAGCTGTTGTCTTCAACAACAATGACTTCGGATGATCCCTGTTGTCATATGATCTAAGTATTCATAGTATATTTTGAATTTACCCTATGTAAATTCT